TAGGGGAGAAATAGTAGTCAGAAGGAAAGGGAATGGAAGGATGTTCCCGGCAGGAAACATAACAAGGATGAGAGATAGGAGCATAGTAAATGCGCTGGGCAAGCTTGTTCAGAATGGCTAAAACACAGGGCTGGATCAGAGAATGGAGGGTGGCTGGCAATAGATGGGACTGGAGAGGTCGGCTGCAGTCAGGTCATATAGGGCGTCATACGTGAAATCGTGGAAAGTAAGACTTCATATATGTAAGAGAGAGCTGTGTTTAAGAAGATAAACACTTTTAGGGAGAAAAGTACTCAGGTTGCATTTTGAAGGAGGACATGGAAATGGGTCCAGGGAAGGCAAATGGAGACCAGGATAAGAAGTTAACAGGTCACTGTGGTAATACAAGCTAGAAGTGGTGAGAGGAAGCCAATGCAGTACAAGTGAGACCGAGAGGAGAGAAAACCACAGGATTTCTCAACCTCGGCACTAATGACATTTTAGGTTATTTTTTTGTGAGGGGTTGTCCTCTGCATTGTAGGCTGTTTGGCAGCATCCTTGGCCTCTACCCATTAGATGGCAGTAACAGGCCGCCTTACAGTCCTGATAATCAAAAACCTCTCCAGACATTACCAGATGTCTCCTGTGGGCAAAACTGCCTCCTGTTGGAATCCACAGGTCTAGCATACCGGTATTAAAACAATCCATGGAGTTGGATGTGTAAAGAAGGTGAAAAGTGAGAGAATGGTCAAGTATCTACAGTGAAAAACTTGTGGGGAAAAAATATAGATGGGAAGTAATACTATGGGAGTGAATGAGATCACCCAGGGAGACTTTTGGGGTGAGAAAAGCACCTGGCAGAAACTCGAGAGGGAACCAAGAGTTAAGGGTGTAGAGGATTATTGAATCACCATTCTAATTCAGCAATGAAAGGGATGATAAAAGAGGAACATGTAACACTACATCCTTTTAGTCAGTAATGATCTTGATATCTTCTATGACCCAAGTGCAAGCTATAAGTAAAAAGTGGGTGTGTGTGGGGGGGGGGGGGGAGGGAAGAATTAGGAAAATTTGCATGAGATGGTTACTTTTCTTATTACACAACCTTAAATTAAATGTATCATTTGCTGAATTTATTTCTCTCTATGCTTTCAGTATAAAACTAAACAAAATCAAAAACCCTCACAGTTCTATTAGGGTGAATGAATATCTCGAAGCGCAGGGCTGAATTGGAAAATGAATCATGCATTTATTAGCAGTGTTGTTTCACTACCTTGTCATCAATGTTCAGAAACAGTGCTGCAATTGAAGGCTCAGGGGAAATGCAGAAGCCGTATGTACAGAGATATTCTTTAGCTTTTGATTAGGTTCACCAGTGATAATTCTTGGAGAAAATAAAATGTCATGAAGCAATGAACAGAAAGAGCTTTATGGGATAGAAAGCAAATCCAATAACAGGAAATACTATCACTTTTGGCAGGAAGGTCAGATGAAGTGGGAAGATCATTTCCTACCGGGTGACAAGATTCCCAGAGTCACAAAGCTAATTGCTTACAAGGCCAATTATGGCGAGAAGTCTTAGACTTGAGCAACAGCTACCTGTCAAAAAGGAACTAGGTCTTGGAAAAAAGGCCAGGTGCTTGGGGTAAATAACTGATTACCTGGATGTAAGTTAGTTCCCCTTGAGGGAAACACTAACTCTTCGGGCCAACCATGGATCTGGAAGGCCCACTCCCTCACAATGCGGTTTGACTACCAAACAGCTCTCACACACGGCACTTCTGCCTGTGCACTGAAAGACAAACCAAAAAAGTTCTTCGAATAATTTCTCCATCATACTCATTTGTCAGAGGGGACCTTTGCCATTTTTCTTAGCAACACAGGACCTTGCCCGCAGTTTCTATAGGGAGCCCTGGACTGACTGCCTCTCCAGTTCCTGCCTCTCTGTCAACCATCTCTCGTCCTCCCTTTCCAACATTGGGGAAGAAGTCAGCAAATGGATCTAATTACCACAGTGGTTTGAGGCTTCTCAGCTTTTTTCCCTGCCAGCTGTAAAGATGTCCTCAGACAGAGCATCACATTCAGAACTGCTGTCAAACTTTCACTTTAATGGGCACTTAAATTTAATGTCAAGCTGATGCCTGTGGAAGACGTTGATTAAATTTGCAAACAGTAGACTCTAACCAAACCAGAACTTGAGAGCTGCCTTGTTTTGCCTTTCAAGCTTAGATTCCAGAAGTTTTTTCTTCCTTGCAAGGCATTACAAAGTTTGCCTGCAAAGACCCTGAGTATCAGTAAGACAGCCAAGTGTAACAAGCAAAAACATTCTGAATGCTTTTAGAGAGAGAAGAAATCCCTCAGCTTATTAAAATTCGATATGAATTAAAGATCCTTCCCATTGCTTTATTTTGCTCCCTCTCACTCAAAATCTGTAACTGTTCACTTTCATGACTCTATAGTATTATAAGCAGCCCTAAAAAAGTTTACTTAAAATCTTCCTGGTGATCTTTTATGCACATTGCAATTAGGAGTTTCATACTCTATAGGCAGAGTAAGAAACATTATGGAGAAACAACATGAAATATGATAAGATCTTTACTAAACTGTCATTGTTTCAGCCAGCTACACATTTCCAACCTCGTCTCTTTCCTGGGCTGTTTCTTCTTTGGTCTCTGATAGTCACACAGCCTCTCCTCCTTGAAGAGGTCATAACCAACTAGAAGCTAGAAGACCTGCAAGACTCATATTCTTTTTCATTGGCTCCTGTTTTGAAAAGAGGCTGCTGGCTTTTGATTTTTCCTTTTTGGTTCTCCCTACATCATCTGATTCAAACAGATCTGTTTTCAAAGAAAACAAATCAAAATTGTCAAGACCTGTGAAGCATGAGAAATAAATTGCTTTTTCCAACTCCAGGAAACACCAGAAAGACATTAATTTCTGTCGTCTTCTATAAACCTCTAACTCCTCTAATCTACAGACTTCACAATATATTTATATATTCTTCTGTATAATACATGATGGGAGATCAAGCCTCATTACAAAGAAACTGAACTTGTAATGCAACTAATATTTAAACCAGTGTTGTTTTGGCCTAGAAACATATAAAACATTCAAGTTATGATGGTAAATTCTTGGGACTGCCAGTCTGAAATGAGTCGGCTAACACACACACACTGTGCTGCTAATGGCTGTGTCCTTTGGCAGGTGGGAGCACAGGCTTCATAAGGCAAGGTGAACGTGAGGCAGTAGGAAAAGATAGCCTTGCAAAATGTTGCCAGATATGAAATATCCTGTCATAAGATTTCCCATTGAACTGCAGCAGCGAGACTGCTTCTAATTTCCCCCCTCTTTTTAACACAACAGAGACCTACATAGATTCTGTGCTCGGCTTTCTAAAGCTAACTCAAATCTGTGGTTAAAACAGCCCTGTGCAGCACTTCTTGTTAACATTTAAAAAACAAAACAAAAAAGGACTCCTGATTCTGCAGTGCATGGATAAAGTGGTAGGCAATCATCAGATTCCTGGTGAGAACTATAAATGATAAAAAGAATAGCAGATGGCTTCCGAAGGGAGGAATTTATAGGGGTAATTTGTAATGGAATAATACTGTTTTCTGAACTAGGTAATAATAATTCACAAAGACAAGTAAAGGTTCAGATGGTGTCTCGTTAAATTATACATGACAGACTATTCCAAGACATCTTTGCTCAGCAGCTTAAAATACAAACCTGATCAGCTGACATGCTTAGGTTCCGACATCTGATCCTTTTTCAATCCTTTTCATGTTGCTGCCATTTTCCAAGGGATTTAAAAAGTGCTTCTCACAGTCCAGTTTTTTGAGTTAGTGTTCTCTTTTCCATGTAGTTAGTATCTGATTCAAGAAGATAAAAGGAAAGTACCTTTCTTCACCAGGAAAAAGGGACTGAAATAGACATATTTTTACATAATCTAATGCAATAGGTGAGGAAAGAGTACATTTCAACCTGGGTCCCTCTTCTTACAGCCATATCCTCTGAGTGAGCAGAGACCACAGGGAGGAAATGTGTTAGTTAAGGGCCTCCCACAAGGCACTGCTCTGCATAAAGTGCAGGGCCTGCTTCCCACAGGCAGGCAGAGAGCAGGTCATGACTCTATATGTGATCTCAACCCCAGTGCTGGCAGAATAGTCATTACTGAGCTTAATACATTTACTAAACCTATTTGGCAGCTCATAGCATCCACAGAAGCAATAAGGGGTGGAAGTTGGAGGGTGCGATGAAAAACACTTCAGACTTTCTTTACAACCTCTTGTTTTAATAATTATCTGTTCTTTCTGAACTCAGCCCCAGAATGAATGGGAAATGAGGAGTTACCATCATTTTACATAACAGAACACTTCTATTTGTTAATTATATAGCTGACTACAAAGTCTGGTTCTCTTAATTCCTGAATCACAATTCATTTCAATAGAGTTTGCTGCACTCACAGGACAAAAGTTCTCCATACTGGTGCAGAATTACCACAAACGGCCAATTCAAGAAAAAGTTTAAAATCTTCATTGGTTATCGATCGTGTTGGATATCCCAAAATACCACTTTAAGAATGAAGGCAATGTCTAATCTGTTATTACATAATATGACTCTTGCAATTATACACAGACATGCTCATGTACACATTGATATTTATTAACAAAAATCCAAAAAAAAAAAAAAGGTTTAGCTCAATATTACAATAAAGGTTAAAATAAGTTGTTTTTAGTTGTATTGTTTCTAAGGGTCTGTAATCAGTCCACAAAGATGTTTTATCTCCTAAAACAGGACTTTCATCACACTATTAAAGTGTTAGATTTCAAGAAGAATTATTTCTCTTCCCTGTTGTTAAAGCAAAATATGGTGGAGATCTTTATTTTTACTTGCAAACCTGCTTAAGACATAGATGGATTGGAGTAGGGTGGGTGGAGGGAAAAGTTAAACAAAAGGTTAAAAAAGAAATGTAGGATATGAAAGCTAGTGAGGAAAAAGGGTCACGGACTGCCTAAGAATCAATCACTGAAGTAATCTTCCAGTCCCTCCATATCCATTTCCAGAGAGGAGTTGAGAGAGGCCAGAGCAGAGGAGGCATCCTTGGTTTTCTGGACACTTGGTTTGGGCTGAGGAGTCTCTGGTTGGATGGGTTCCTTCTTCATGTCTTTACCACCATTTAGAATCCTTTGGCTCTCCACAAAGAATTGATTAGGATGATTCAATGAAAAGCCACAATCATCCACCTGTACAAGGAAGTAAATGTATATAACATTAATACGTAGCTAAAGTATAAATAAAAGGGCTTCACACACTGTCCCAGATCTCATTCAAAAATCTATTTAATACCTGAAACATGGATCCTAGTAGTTCTCATTCATAACATTCCATCTGTTACTTACATCTCATTCAGAGGCAGCTTCAACCACTGCCTCAACAATGAGTCCTGCATTTACACTTACAGCCAACACTTGGCTCCACCTCCCTATCCATCCAGTTCCGTATCCAACTCCTACTCAACAGGTTGGGTGGCTGAAAGGCAGTTGCAAGCAAAATGCCTGGCACACTGTCAGTCAATAGATATTTGTTGTTAAAAAAGGAAGAATGGTCTTTAAACATTCCAGAATCAGAGGGAATGAGTACAGACATGGTCCTCAATACCATTCATATGTTAGAGCTGATTTATAAATCTGGCATAGGTTATCCCATTTAGTATAATACAAATTCTGAAAAAGAAACCTAATTTAATGTTATTTTTTTCATGCCAATCTTGGCCTTTCTCTGTTCTTTCTTTGTATAGAAAATCTTTTCATAATATCATTGTGGCTTAATGAAACCATGACCAGGTTCATTGTTTTATGCTATTTCTTTTTTCAAATACTATCGCTCAATTTGAGATTAAATTGTGAATATCATTTCAAATTACCCATTATTCTGTGTTTACTAAAGACCTACTCAGTGAGCCTTTGAGAGGTTATCAATACTTTAATCGAAGGTTCAGTAAACACTACTTCCCCTACATTTTTATTCTAAAATTTACTAATGGTGAACAAAATATATTTTAATAGATAATTATTATTTAATGACTATTATGATGCAAGACATTCTAAGTGGCATAAACACACACACATATGTATGTATGTATGTATGTATGTATGTATATACAGTTAACTTCCACAGGAGCCCTCTGAAGGTAGGTTATCAATATTTCCTAGTTCTTCAGATGAGGCATCTGTGAAAGGGAGAGATTAAGGAACTTGCCCAACAACACGCAATGACAGGGCTGGAGATGGGATATCAATCGGCAGAGTCCATGCTCAATGTGCAGCTGCCTTGTTCTTATGCCGAGGTCAATATTTTTATATTGTATTCATTCTAAAACTTATAAACATTTACTAACTCCTAGTGTTTGATATTGGGGGAAGGGGGTGCCATAGAAGCCAGATAACACGTACAATGAATTTTCTCCTGAGTGTGAACCTCTGCAAGATTTATTTTCTTCACGTTTAACCAGTGGATCAGACTGAGCTGATCACTCATAACACAGACTAATTCAAATCCCTGCCCTTCTTTGCCTTTTGTAGTTGGAGTTGACAACAAAAAGAATACAATTTTGCTCAAGTTATTTTGCCGATTTTTGTTGGTTAAGGGGTATTTTCATTTCTTATTTTTTATAAACTGAGAAATTATACTTCTTTGGGTCATCTAAATTACATTTATCAACCTTTTTATGTCTCACTCTTAATACTGAAGTGATGTGTATACAGTAGATGTCTAATAAATATTTAGTAAGTCGGGCCCAGAACTAACCAGTGTATGCTAGTCATGCATTTGACATATTGATTGAAGACTTAATATGTATAAGGTCATGTTATGAGCTAGCAGTAGTTTTCAGCAAATAAAAATGTATCTCAAGGAAAAAATAAAGAAATGTATTTGACTAAGACTAACTCTAAAGAAATTTCCAGCCTAGTAAGTCATATATTTGACAACCTCTACCAAGAATGAATGAAGTGATAGGGGTCACAGATGAAGGCCTATTATACTCCACATGAGAGAGAAATTCTGGCTGGGGAGATCAAGGAAGGCTTTGTGAAGGAAGTGGTATATGAGTTGAGCCTGAAAAGATGGAGAAAGTAAAAAGCTGAAAATGAAGTCAAGCGCAATATAAGCAGCAGGACCACATGAGCAAGGTAAAGAGGCGACCTCCCAGGAAAGGAAGTAGTTCAGGTGGCCTGGTGTGAAAGGCATATAAAAGGGAGTAATGGCAAATGAGGCTGGAAAGACAGGCTGGGGCCAGGCTTTGGAGAGCTTTGAAAACCAGGCTAAGTAGTCCAGACCTAATTCTGTAGGCAACAGGGACTTATTTAAAATCTGTAAGAAGGGACATGGTGTGACCAGAGCTATGGGTAATCTCATGGTAGGTTAAAATGGGTTAGCAGGGGGCTAACGGACTTGCTGTCACGGTCCAGAATGAACCCTCTTAACAGGAGGGTCAGTAAGTAGAAACAAGGCCTTGTAATACTAATCCCAAAACTATACTCAACAAAAGCCTTGCCCTTACATCAAAAGATTAGCAAGTAAATGACATTTTAATACTTTAAAATATGATGTTTAAGGAATGTACTTATTTTTTTCTGAATTGCAATTTTCATTAATATCCTTACTAACCAATTAAAACAGTGCCAAGGGTCTTGAAATGAGGACCTGTCCCATGTTTCTGTGTAATGTTATGTTTTTCAGTTTTCTCAGGTTTACAATTGCCCTTTCTTAATTCATTTTGTTAATAAATTCACTTTACTGAAGTTGCTTGATAGCATAATGAAATTATGAAGCGTTTCCTTCTGTTTACTGCATTGTATTTTCATCTAGGTTGGTTTTTTTGTTTGTCTTTTGAGTGTTTCTTTGACTTTTACTTTTGGCTGAAGTGTACAGCAATCCTCAAGTCATTTCATTATAACACTGCTGAGATCCATAGGAACCTAACTCGTGTTTATAAGTAGACTGTGGTAAAATTGGTTTCACTTAAATTTATAGGGTGTTTTGCTTAAAGTCACAGAACCTATTGATAACATTATGTGTTATCATATTACGTATGGTTGACAATTTCCTTTCAGCTTGCTCAGGAAAATAAACAGACTTTTTTTGGGATGGAAGGTGAGGAGCATAAACCAAACAGAATGAAACAGATTTTAATCTAAATCACATTAGAAAAAAGAATAAAGGAAGTTACCACAATTTCACTTCTTATGAGTCAATAGATGTTTCCTTTACTCTTCATTGAAAACAAAACAAAAATACTCTATTTCATTCTGGATTTGGGAATAGTGAGAATTTCCGCACTTCTGCCTGCTGTGAACCTAGTGTGTCTTTCCTTGCCTTTTTTCTTGTTTGGCTGTTATCTGTGATGTTTTTTCTTTGTGACTGATAATTTATTATTATGTTTTATGCATTTTTTAGGTATTGGGAGAGGAAATTCTATAATGCATTTTCATTCTGCCATATTAGCTTGAAATTCCCAAATAATTGTAAAGGATCTGAAACAAGAGCAGTGTAACTGAAGTCTAGAAGGAGGACTCTATAGGCTACATTATAAAATTTGGATTTCATCTTAAAGGCCATCAGGAAGCCTCTTAAGATTTTTAAAAAAGCAGGGTACAGAAATTACCAGATTCCTCCATTTAAAAGTTCACTCTAGCAGCTGTGCGGAGGAGAAAGAACAGGAATGATGCATGTGTGCTAGGAAGCTACTGCAGTGGTCCAAGTGAGAGATGATAGTGGCTTCTAGCCCAGGATTCTAACTGATATTCGTAACAATGACCCTGAGTTGTTATTAAAAATCTTAATTGTACTTGGTATATCTGTTTAAAATGGTAGGAAAATATGTGATAGATTTTAATAAGATATCTGTAGAGATTTATATGGTTGGAAAAACATTATGCTTAGCTGTTTGGAAAATAAGTACCCAAAAAGACTCCACCTAAAGGAGTCTATTTCTAAAGACATGTTTTCTATTAAAAGTCAGATTAATCTGCCCAAGGCTTAATGTTGCCATTACACATGGAGTACGCTGAAAGGAAAAAAGGTACACTGCAGTCTAAAACACTGCTCCTTAAAAACACTGAGGAAAACAGTTCTCAAACAGGCCATCTACTGACATCTACTAAGTGAATCTCCCTCAAACTCTTGCTTGGAATCCACACGTTTTGCACACGGTGACCTTCACACAAACATAGTCTTATATTTCTGCCACAGGAAACGTAGATTTTGAAGGCATGGAAGCAATATTATTTTACCTATGGGATGTTTGGGTTTTAATCAAGAGGTTTTGCATTGACAGCTTATAATGAGGCAGCTGGTATTACCAAAAAAGCCATATGGAACAATCACAGTGCTGCTGTAAATGGTATCAATTAACTGGTTTATTTTCAGAACTTTTATTAAAGTGAGTTTGATTATAGAAGCCTCAGGAAAATAAACAGCGGGTGCTTTTTTTTTTTTTTTTTTTTTTTGAGGATGGGGAAGAGGCAGGCAGAATGGCAGAAATCTAACAATAAAAATTCTATTGTTAAATTGAATTAGAAAAAACAGTAAGCGAAGATATTCACAACTAAAAATCTATACTGAGACATCCAGTGAACATAAATAGCCTTTTTATTTCATTGATTTATATGTGGTTTAAGTTAGACTTTCTATATGTGGGAGGATTTAGACACATTCTTTTCAATATCTTTATTAATTTAAGGCATTTTTAAAAACATATTTTATTGATTTTTGACAGAGAGGAAGGGAGAGAGATAGAGAGCTAGAAACGTTGATGAGAGAGAAACATCGACCGGCTGCCTCCTGCACAACCCCATCGAGGATGTGCCCGCAACCATGCCCTTGACTGGAATCAAACCCGGGACCCTTCAGTCCACAGACCGACGCTCTACCACTGAGCCAAACCGGTTTCGGCAATTTAAGGTATGTTTTAAAAATTGACAATAGTAATAATATTCTTGTAGAAATAATCAATAGGAGAGATACTACAAAAGCAATTGAGAACTAAAAAAAATAGTAATGTCACAAAGTCAATGTTTAAATTTAACCTGCATCTTATTAAAAAAGAAAGAGGTTGAATAATAGAACTTAATTTGTGAAGGTTCTGAGGCCTCTTAATTAAAAGGGTCCACAAATAATTAAAAACACACAAAATTAAAAATCTCAATCTGAGCAAGCAAATTCAGGAATCCAGTCTTCACTGGTGTTGAAAATATCAAACATATATGTGGCTTGTCTGGTGAAATTTCTATTCTGATAAAACCAATGAGATCCTGTTGTTTACATTTTATTGATACTCAGTCCTTTAAATTTTACAAAAAAAAATTATTAAATTTTTCAATTACAGTTGACATTTAATTTTACTAACTTAAGTTATGAAATGATCATCCAGATAATTCCAGTACATACATAGTTGTTGTATTTTAAATTCTGTAGCTATTTTGTAACTCCCAATTTATATTACTTCTTAATCCCTTCACTTTTTCACTCCCTTTCTCAACTCCCCTCCTATCTGGTAACCATCAGTTTGTTCTCTGTATCTGAGTTTGTTCTTATTTTGTTTAATTTGCTTTTTAGAATCCACATGTAAATGGAATCATATGGCATGTGTCTGTCACTGGCCTATTTCGCTTAGCATAATACTTGCTCAGTCCATCCATGTTATTCTTTTTTTGGGTTGAGTAATATTCCATGGTAGATATGAATCACCTCTTCTTTATCCATTCATCTACCAATGAACACAAGTTGCTTCTATATATTATAAGTAATGCTGACATCTTTTCAAACTGGTGTTTAGTTTTTTGTTGTTTTTTTTTTTTTTCAGATACTCTGAAGTGGAATTGTTGAGTCATATGGTAGCTCTATTTTTAATTTTTGAGGATCTTCCATATTGATTTCCAATTTACAGTACTACCAACACTGCATAAGGATTCCCTTTTCTCCACATCCTGGCCAACACTTCTTTGATCTGCGGTTGGTTGATGCTTGAGCTGAGCTCGGAGGTGCTTGGGAGAGGTTATTCTGTGAACCAGGGATGGCTGCCACTAGTGTCAGGCTTGGGACCCTTTGGTGGGCACCACAATGTAAGTTGAGGCCAGCTGCCACTTGTGCCTGGTTAGTGGCCATTTACTTGAGGCTACATTCCAAGGCAAGATTGGCCGCTTCTTATGCCAGGCTTAAGGCTACCTGACAGGAGTTACTGAGATCTTGCCACATGTGCTGATGTTGGCATAGCTTAGCAAGAGGTTGGCATAGCATGCTGAGGCCAGCTGCTGCTTGAATGCAGTTTGTAGACCTTTGAGAGATCTTTAGGAATATCCAGAGCACAAGCCAAGGCAGGATGTTTGTGTGGAGGAGCCGCTGGAACAGGTGGAGGCCTGGCATACTAGTGGGGTGGGGCAGGGTCTCAGGGTATCTCCAGAGACAGTTCAACAAAGGAAGAATGGTGCCTACCAGCACTTCTGTCCCTGGAGAGAGTTGTTTTTGAGCCCTGCCCCTCCAGTTAGTTCTTCTATGTATTTCCCTGGTGCTTTTTGAGCCCAGAGCAAGTGAGTTTATGAGCAAGTCTATGCATGGGCTCTTTAAGACCTGCATTGCCTAAGACTCCAGGAACTCTCCATCTCACCAGGATGCAATCCCCACTGGTTTTCACAGCCAGATTCATTTTCCCGACACTGGAGCTCTAGGCTGAGGAACTCTGTGTGGGACCCCATGCTCCTCAGGGGGAACCTCCACAACTGAGATATCCCTACCAATTCTCACTCACCACACCGTATATGTGGGACCTGTCCATTCCACATCTCCATCCTGCTTCCAGCTTCTTTGTATCTTTAGTTTTAGGACTTCTTTTCAGGTAGTCATTAGGAGGTTCTCAATGATAGTTGTCTATGATTCAGTTCTAATTATGATAATTGTCTATAATTCAGTTCTAATTCTGCTGTGGTTGTGGAAGGAAATGAGCACATTTCCTACTCTACCACCTTGACTAAAAGCCTCTAAATTATTATTTTAAAATAATAATGGTATTTTTAACATTTAGGTATAATAGAATGAGGGCTAGACCCACAACAGTCCGGATTTCTAGCTCCTGATCTCCCATTAATTTGTTACCCTGGGCAAGTCATGTATAAGTGCTGGATCTCAGTTTTGCTTTAATGTAAGCTATGATGATTGGCTCATGAATCTAAAAAGGAAAATGCTAATGATTTCAACAGTAATTATTACAAATCCAGTACCAGATACTGTAGAATAGCACAGTCCTGGTTAGGCTCATAAGTGCTAGACGAGTTACTCAATAGCTTGTTTCAAATCCAAGTTCCATCCCCTATAAGCTCTATGATTGCATACACGTTGTTTAGAACTTAAGTGTGGATCAAAATAGCTAATGTGTCCAAAGTACTCTGGGCTGGACCTGGCATGCATTAAGGGTTCTACAGATGTTGGCTGATGTCATTATTATTATTTCCATCATCTTTAGTAATATTATAGGATACATTTTCCTATGAAATATTTTATAAAAAAAATTCTGCAGTTCTATAACCACAATGAAAAAATTTCATAAAAACTAATTTTTAAAAATATTGTAAAACTTAGCATAGCCTGGTAGCTAATGATGAATTCAATAAATACACCTTTTGAAAGAAGTTATGGATCCCTCCCTTTGTATCCTAAAATGCTCGATGTACTGACAGAAGCAATGTTTCTATAGGTGCATTGATCTCCAAGTCCATTCTTGGATGTCTATATTAGGTTAGGAAGCCATGACCAGGATCAGTATTTGAAGCTTCACTTTTTTTATTTATTTTTTAACCTCTGAGTTTGCAACCCTCTTTTTACACCTTTCAGAACCTACTATAGCAGGACTTTCTTATACTGAAGAGGCTGGCATTGAGAGAAACCAAACACTTCACTGACTCCCTTGAAGTTAAGGGTCTACCATGTAACCTAGGTTCTTCATGCAGATAAATATAAGACTTGGGTAGTAGCTTAGATAAACATGAGGTGGCAGCAAGTAAAAGGATCAGATTTTCTGCAGGGAAGACGGTAAAAGCCTTAGGTTCCTTGGGACAGCTGTGGCCATAAGTTCTAGATCTACTCCAGAGGTTGGCTGAGGCCTGTGGGTCAAATCTTGTCAGCTGTTTTTGTAAAGAAAGTTCTACTGGAACACAGCCATGTCTGTTCATTTACATACTGTCTATGGCTGTACAGCATACACAGCAGAGCTGGGACAGAGACCATATGGGCTGTAATGCCTACAATTCTTACAATCTGGCACTTTACAAAAGTTTCCCAACTCTTGGTCTCATCTCTAGATGTGGAGTGGTGGGTGACAGCTGTAATAGAATAAGGTTTGCTCATGGTGTAGCTCCTCCTAGTAACAACATTCTTGGTTCTGGAGCATCTAAGCTTAACTCTCCCACCTTTCTATAAATTTCATAAGCCACCTCCCCCCCCCCGTCCCCCCCCCGTCCCCCCCCCCGTAATGTGTAATAAATTCCTTTCTGCTAAAAATGGCGGGAGTGGTTTCTATTGCTGCAATTAAAACCCCTGAATGAAGCAAAAAGTAACAAAAGACAAAGAATTAGGCTTATAAAATTTAAAAATATACTTACATTATGTGTTATCTCAAAATACTTCTGACAGGCTACCTGGTAATGTGTCCCTTTTACTAAATCCAAAATCTAAAATGAATGGAAAGGAGAGGAAAAAGAATTAGAAATTCAGTTTCTTCTGAATCACTGTAGCTCATGGCTGTTGGCCATCTTCATTCCAGACAGGAAACACATTAAATCATGCAACGTGTGTACTTCTTATGCAGCCTAGACACTGAGATAACATTGACATTACACAATACTGTTTAGGTCAGCATTAAACCACAGACAAGAGATAGTAGATCATAAAGATCACTTACTAACTGTGAATTTCAGTAACTTGACCTTGACAACAAGATGAAAATATTCTAGTATTATGACTTTGACAGTTATTATCAGATCATCATATTGCAACATCTAAAATTGTAGATAAAAATATGGTAATCTAAATGGTTGCAGCATGAAGCAATCAAGTATAGTATTTAGCTTTTTATTTTCCACATTACCAGTTTAGATAGATACAGCTGTGTGCCCATCAGGAAAATTTCATGAAAACCCTTTGGGTGAGTATCTGTCGGGAGGGAATGCTTTTACCTTCAATCAGATTTGTCCTTTATTGAAATAAAGTTATTTCTAGTAAAGCTCAGCAGAATATAAAAGTGAATGGTCTATTCTGAACACCTATTAGGAACATCATCCTATCTTTTGTAAATACAATTTGCTTTGCAAGTCTACTTCATGTAATCTCCTCAGAATGGTGCAAACTCCCATTCTTATCAGCAGAGTGCAATGCCAGTTGAAATTAGTAAAGTTTCACCACTTCCTCCACCAAATAAAAAATATGTATTTTTTATTTGGCCAGTTTATCAAACACCAAGAAATACTGGAATTAAGAGACAGCTTCAAATGAGGAGAAATACCATTCTGGAGAAATGTGAATTCTATCCCTTTTCAAAAGGCTGACTTTTCTATGACAAAAAGGAATGCACATCAAGTCTCAAATTCCTGCTGTCATCATTATTGAATATAGCTTATATCTTTTGACAAATTACAGTTGCAGAATGGTCATCATACAACCCTGACAAGAGTGTACTTAAAAAATTGTTTTTCTCTGAGTGTCTTATAGATTACATTTCTGAATTTCAGGTCATCTTGTAATTAAATCCCATATGAAATGTCAACCAATCACAGTACCCAGGATCGTGCATGTCTGCCTACCTGACCTACCCACATTTTGTGATTAGAGCAAAATGAAAAATAAATCAAAATTAATGACTATGGATTTTAAAAAGTCACAAAGTTTTCCAAATAATTCTAACATTCTGAGCTCACCTTATCCAATGTTTTTACACATAGGTAATTCAAATTGAACTTGTAATTGTTTATTGGCAAACATTAATGACACCAATACATATATGAACTTCTGTGAATTAAAATTTTGGAGAAGCAAAGACACAGCATAAAGTTAAATTGAAATGATTGCACAAATTACCTGAAAAGGAAAGGACTTCACAGAAATAAGCACATAGCTCTGTGGTATATGTTACTTTTATATAAAAACAAAACAATGACTCCAACATCATATATTTCTGTAACTTATACACATACAATATAATATACATTGGGAAGCATGCTATAAATATTTAAAAGAAATATCAATAAAAATATCAGTTGGGTAATATACAAATATGTAAAGTTATTAAGGAAAACTGATATATAAGCCATTACATGTGAGAAAAGCAGATTTACGTGTCTTGAAATTTTGATTAATCACATAACAACCCTCCTACCACACCCCACTCAGAGTAGGTTCTTCATTAACAAATACGTCGTTTACTTTGCCTCTTTTGATGATCTTTCCAAGATGAATTTTTCTTGCAAAACCACAAATAAGTTATCTAACAATCTATTCTTAGACAACTTTACTGATCATGTCACAGCATAGAGTGGATAAAAGTTCCTGTACATATGTAAAGGTACAGTGGATGAAAATGAGGGTTTCAAAGAAAGATACGTTTAGGCCTAATGAGAAGAGCTATAGTACACTAAGTAATGAAGACATGGAGACATTAATGAGCTAATAGGAGAAATTCAAAAGAAGGACTGCTCTGAGGTGACCAGGTGTTATTGGTAGGTATTATCTGTATTTCAGAGATGAAGAAATGTATCCTCTTAAAAATAGGGCGGTCTGTTTATCCAGTGAGGGCCATTTATTAAAGAATTAAAAATTTTAAAAATCATATGCAGCCTGGCCAGAGTGCTGAGTGGTTGAGCATTGACCTATGAACGAATGGGTCACAGTTTAATTCCCGGTCAGGGCACATGCCCAGTTGCAGCCTCAGAATGTGCAGGAGGCAGCCAGTCAATCAATGATTCTCTCTCATTGATGTTTCTCTCCCTCCCTCACCTCTCCCTTCCTGTCTGGAAAAAAAAAAAAAATCATATGCAACTTAATGACCCTGTTTTCCTTAAGAACATAAAATATATGTTTTAAAACTAAGGTAGAAAATGTGCAACATTACTCAAAAGAATTCAACAACTAATAAAAAAAATAAGTATTTTGATTTCACATTATAATCTACTAAAGGCCCAGTGCACGAAATTCATGCACTAGGGTGATGGCTGGACCCACAATTAATTGCATTGCACCTGCCTTGACTTGGCCTGGTGCCAGTGGGTGTCATAGTGTGGTCATTCGGAAGGTCATCTGGCTGTCCGGACTAATTAGCATATTACACTTTTATTATAGATATCACAGAGATATAGAAAAAGAGAAGGGTCTTCTAGACCAATGAATGAAGTTTGGCTTCTCTCTGAGTAAAATGGGGAGCTACTGTATGCAGAGTTCTAAGCACAGGAGTAGCATTCACTGACTTCCATTTTTAACAGGAATAATGCTTCCTTCAGTATTATGCACAGACTACAAGAGTAAAGGAAACAGCTAATTACAGAAACCCAGGGAATAAATGATGGAGGCTGGGGTCAGAATGATAACAGTTGTGGTGCTGAGAAGTGAATTTGGGGATGGAAGCATTTCCTACTTAATGACCATAAACCGTTTTTTAAAACTAGCTTTTCTACATGAAGATGCTCAACAGATACCTGATCCCCAATGTTTTGGAATAAGGCATTACCTGTCATTTAGTCCCTCCTCTTCCAGACTGATTTCCTAAATAGAACTAACTAGTTTTAAAACTCAGTAAAATAATGTGTCATCCTATCTAATAAAAGACTAATATGCAAATCAACTGAATGGTGAAATGGCTGGTCGCTATGATGCGAAATGACTGGTCGGTATGACGCTCACTGACCATCAGGGGAGCAGACACTCAACGCAGGAGCTGCCCCCTGGTGGTCAGTGTGCTCCCACAGGGGGAGCGCTGCTCAGCCAGAAGCGGGGCTGATGGAAGGCTTGCGCAGCAGTGGTGTGGGAGCCTCTCCACTGCAGCACTAAGGAATCTTCGGGAGATGAACACCTGCCGGTTTAGGCCCCCCCACCTCAGTGCACGAATGTTGTCACTGAGCCTCTACTATAAATTAAATGTAAAAGACCAAAAATAGCATTTACTAGTCACTAAACAATATGATTAACAGATGCTTCTGAAGCAGTTATATATGAGCATGACACCCCTATGTCACCAGCATTTTAGATGCACATCCCTTCTGATTTCAGAATTTTCACATTTATACATGGAATACAACTTGAGGCTCTTTCTGCTCCTTATTTTCTTTTTCTTTTCTTTTTTTAAAATATATTTTATTGATTTTTTTTTTTAACAGAGAGGAGGAGAAAGGGATATAGAGCTAGAAACGTTGACGAGAGAGAAAAATCGACCAGCTGCCTCTTGCACCCCCCCTACCGGGGATGTGCCCACAACCAATGTGCATGCCCTTGGCCGGAATTGAACCTGGGACCTTTCAGTCCTTAGATCGACGCTCTACCACTGAGCCAAACAGGTTTTGCCAGCTCCTTATTTTCTTATCTTTTTCTGATACAAACATCACTGACAAATACTAGACTAAGGTATTCTACAGGGTAGTGCTGGTGTACTCTGCTGCCAGGTTGGATGACTCCAGGCAGGGAATGCCAACCTAAAATCAAAGGATGGGAAAGGAGAATTGAGGTGTGAGCCAGGTACTAACATTCAGTTGGTGAAATAGTAGCAAACACAGAAACATGGCAAAGAAACACTAAAATCTAAGAAGGACAGATGCCTGAGGGAGAACCTGTGAAGAGAATTTGGGGACAAAAGCTACATTCTCTACAACATGTTTCACACACCCTTCCTGGTTCTGCAGTGATGACTGAAATGCACGGCGGTTAGGATCACTGAGCCATCCTTACCCTACTGCCTGAAATTCAGGCTCTTAGGAATCATTGGTCTCATTTAGAATTTAAATTTTTTGTTTAGTCATAATTCAAACAACCTTTTTTTAAAGTGCTAAGTTGTTGTTTTTTGTTTGTTTTTGAGTTCCTTTTTTAATCCTCAGCTGAGAATAATTTTTCCATTGCTTTGAAGAGAGAGTGGAAGGTTGGGGGAGAAGAGACACACTGATTGGTTGCCTCATGCACAGGCCCCAACCGGGGACAAGGAGGGAACTCACAACTTAGGAACATGCCCTTGACTGGGAATCAAACCCTTCATCCTTTGGTGCTCAGGCTGACACTAACCACTAAGCATTCATGTGCTTAACAAAAAAGTCCACATCCCAGGGCTGTGGACAGATAGGATTGACTTATAACCATACTAGTGTGTACCTAAGATAGATGAGGATCTAACCAAGAGTGGTCTGATTTTCTTTGAAACTGAAATGTTTTTTTGATGTTTTCTCAAGAAAATGTTGGGTGTGGTAATATTTTACAATGTGCTCATTTTGAACTTACCTAAGTATTTTTTCAAACTATCTTTTTTTAATTATTATTGTTTAAAGTATTACATGAGTCTCCTTCCCCCCTTCCCCATTGATCTCTCCCCTGCCAGCCCCTCCCCCAAGCACAACTCCTTACCCCACTAGTGTCTGTGTCCATTGGTTTTGATCATATGCATGCATACAAGTCCTTTGGTTGCTCTCTTATCCCCTCACTCCCC